AAATTGTTTCCAACGTATTACTAAATATAATTATATATATTTCCATTTATTAATTTGAGTAACTTCAAGTTAATGTATAAATAGGACATACATGATCTTTCTCTTCATTATGTGAACGTGACTGCACATTGAACGATGATGGTCCTGAAACAGGTCGAATTTACGTGACGAAGGAACAGAGCTCTCAGTTTCTTTTGGGCGTTCGCGAGTGAAACATCGTGAGTGAACGGTTACGTTAGTACGTGCGTGAAAGTTTCGTCTTCCGAGCGTCCAGCTTCCTCTATGCATAAAATTTATTAACACAAGAAAAAAATTGAAAGAAACACCACAGGTACTTGAACATATTTATAAATGTTTAATAGTAGTGAATGGCTTGAAATTCACATTTTATTATAATTGTATTTTATTTAAAGATATTAAAATTAATTTTTTAATTAGAGATTTTTATATAAATTGTTTAATGTCTTAGAGTATAATATTATTAACATTTTTCTATTTGATCCTTCTTACTTTTGAGTAGCGAGTAGCTTTTAAATTTTTGTGCAATCATAAGATATTATGAACAGCACGTAACAACGGTTACAATAAAATTTAGAGTTGTATATAACTTTTATCTTCGGTAAACTTTATCAGTGACGAGCGAGATTATTTTCCATTAAAATGATTTTGTATCTTATAATGATTTAACATCCCATCTATAAAGATATAGTTCGTTTTAAATTATATATAAGAAAAATATGAATATATACACGATGATTTTGCGTTAAATTTTCATGCAAATCAATGAAATAAGTTATAAAATGTATCAATCAATATAACTGAGTGGTATACACTAGTATGTTTTAATAACAAATTTCATTTATGTATACAAGACACCTGCTGTATAACATTCCCCATGATGCTAAGATTATGATACATTATTTCCACTATTTCCTTAGATATATGCTTCTAAAAGTTCATTCGTAATTATTTTTACCGTAATTTCCTTTTAATTTTCATTACAATTCTTGATAGGTTAGAATCCTAAAACGATTCGCGAATAATTTAAATAAAGTTACAATTAGTAGTTTAAATGTTTAACGATAAAAGAAAAGTTTTACTAAAGAAAATGACTTACGTCATAATTATGTACCATCAATTTCGTGATATTTCGTAAATAACTATTTAAGTATATAATAATAAATATCAACTACTATATCGGCCGCAATTTAAGTTTACACTTCAATCTATATAACGTGGACTTTAAATATAAAGTAAAATGTGAAATAAGGATTTGATTTAATAGAAGGTAGTGCAGGATCTCTAATGAAAACAGAAAATTGAAAAAGTGTATTTTGCAAATACGTTGCGACACATTCTGTGGTGACGAGGGTTACGAAATGGAATGAGTCTCGACAGAATGACCATATGTTAGAGTCGAAGGACGAAGATATAAGAACATGAGACGATCAATGGTCCACGAGTCATCGTGCCCGTGGGTCGAAAAGTCAGGGTCTGTTCAGAGTAGATCTTTCTTAATCACTGAACGCGTCTTCCTGAGGAATTTTTCTCGTTTACTTGCATGAACCGTTAATCGTCGCTCTTTTATACTTCAAATATGCAAACATATAGTTAAATATGTATTTCTTATAATTTATATCATTTGAATTTAATTCAAATTTAAAGCATTTCTAAATAATAATTTAAGAGGATATTTATCGGTTGTTTGTGAAATTATTAAATTGCTAAATGAATAAACAAGGGGAATTGTATTTGGACCTTAATGAATGAAAATCAATTTTTGCCCAATATTCAATTTCTACTTAATTTTGTTTATATTAGAGAATTCTTACTCTGCATATTAATTATTGACTCTGCATTAAGGATATCTAATGATATCCATTAATTGATATGTTGTGAATAAAAATATAAATTCTTCTATTGATTAAAAATTTATAAAAACATAATTTTTCCGTATGTTAGAGATATACAGTACAATCTGTACAAAATATATAGGTGTATAGTAATTTCAAAAAATAAATTAAACGAATATAAACAGAATCTCCTTGCAATTTTGTTTTCCTCTTTTATTCGTTACTTTTACATAACAATTTCCAGGTGAACATATTTTATATCTTTTTCTAAAAGACACTTTCAACGGTATTCGAAAGAGATGGCTAAACTGACGATTATACACTTATATTGTACATTAGGTCGAGTAATAGGAATTTTATGATATGCTCATTTAGCTATATTACTCAATTTTATTAACAGCTACTTTAAAGATGAATCGATTCAAATTATTTTTCGACACATATTAATTAATTTTAATTCATTTGTCTACGCATTGCTTTTTTTGTGTACACGAGAAATATCTTATACGATAGCTTCCGTGTTTACTTTTTCTCTGTATTATTTCATATATTATTTCAATAACTTGGATCAATTGTTTTAATGAAAATTAGATGGAAGCGTTTTAATGAAAAATGGCGAACCGAAAATAACGAACATCTCAGCAGAAGGAAGCTAAATCGTGTATATATTTTGGCTAATGCAAGACACACGTATACACCTGGACCAGCAAAACTGACGTAATCTTCTGGTTGTTTGTTGAATGTGTAGGTACACTCATTGCTATGAAGCAATTATTATTTTTGTACTTTCTCCGGCGAAAAGAAAAGCTATATCACCCTCCGGCCATTTAGCCGAATCCAACACAAAGTTCGTATATCCGTTCAGTGATACGAAACATGAATCTGCATATATGAAAGTTGCGCTTTGCCTGGGGTTAGTTTGTCCTTTTTGTACCACTAAAGGAAAATTCTTACCGCTATCATATGAATCTTTGTCTCACTTATTGATAATTGGTTATATTTTGATTTTATTGTCTTTTTTTCAGTTAGTAATTATTCATTCTAACGACGCTTGTCACTATTTTATGAAATTGCAAGTATTCAAATTTTTTAAATAAAAAATAAAAAATCTGTTTGTACATTAACATATTTCATCACGTCTAACATTATAAAGGAATATCATCAGAAATATTTCTTGTTATATTATCATAACTTACCTAACCATCAATAGATTGATCGATTTGCAAATGAACGAATGTGTTAGGTATATTGCTAAAGGTAGTAGTGATTAAGAAAGAAAAATAAAAACAAAAAGGGAAGAATTTGAATGAGCATTTTAATTGTAAATTAAATAGCACTTTGGATGGAGAAAGTAGATATGAGAATTCTTTTTTCCATTCTGTTAGTCAATTAAGAGAACAAGTTTGCTCCTTTCAAGCATAGTAGAAAAATAGCATAACACGGTGGAATAGCGGGTCAGGTATTTATTTTCGTGCTATGTGGTGATACGTTTTTGTATGACGGCCCTGTATGAGTGCGAGTGAAAGTTCATGAGTTAAATATTTTTTATAATTTCGTTTTGTAAACTGCTCCTACGTTTGGATTTTCTATAAGATAAGTCGCTATTTGTTGAATATGCTTCTTTTAACAAGCAATATCTACGCACACATATATATACAAACATATCCTTAAATAATGTTTATTTATCTTAAACACTAAAATCTAATATTGTAGAAATGCAAAAAAAAAAAAGAAAAAGAGAAGAAATAAGAAGAAAAACAAAATTATTTAAAAATATGTTCAAGTCGCGAGACAAATAAAGAAACAATTGTGCCTTGAGTAGAAATTTGAAGCTTATTTAAATTGAAATTTGAATTTGGGGGAAAATAAAATTGTAATTGGACATTCGATCGATAATTACTTAACTATATAAACTTAATTTAATAATGTTCATTCGTTTTATCCCATTTTACCTCTCCTGTTTTTTAACTTACATGTTAGTGCTCGCTAGATTATTGTTTACAAATCTGCTAAAAAGAGTTCGTCGATTGCATAACGTGTCCATGTAATATTGAGCTTCTGACTGGAGTTGCATTCTTCTCCAAGCACAGAACTTTTGTAATGTCAATCGACATTCCAGGGTGCACCGTGTAATACGTGAACATCGGGCAGTGAGCTACATTGACGTGAAAGTGGCCAACTGGAAGTGGCGGAATGCGGAGTATTGGGCGCTGGTGGCGTATACACTGATCCACATGGTACTAGGTAATTGGAGTAACATGTTTATATATATTTGTGCGTAAATAACGAAGGTATTTTAGTATATGATAGATCGATCGTGTTTAATGTTCTTAAATCTTCATTTACTATTCAAAACTTATTTTAACGTAGCAGTGTTCGATCCCTCGAATTGCGACACCATTTCGATATGAACGAAAGTATCACTGCTTGAATTCACAATAAAATTACACAGTCAGTAATTTATATAATCGTTGTGTTTTAATGTAATTTTAAAGAAAATATTTTAATTAATTTTTGAAACTTAAAGCATATAAGGGATATTATAAAAGATATTAGTTGAACGACGAAAGTATCTGTTTTCATAAAATTATTTAGTATAGAATAATTATTGCAAAAATATAACATTATCTCATATTTTCATCGACCTGTACCTCATATTGTCCCAAATAACGTAATACCCGTTTTGCGTTGTCCAATTTCTTACGTGAACATGACGAATGTGAAAGCGACCTTGGCTCATCCACCGCATCAATACTAAATGGTGTATCGATAAGTGTCTATCCAAGAAACGTTTCTATCGAATAGATCATAGATTATACAGCAAAAATTTCCGTGAAAAATTAAGTTGTATCGTTTCAATTGCTACTTAACTTGTAAATGCATAACGAATGAGAAGCATAAATTGTTTCTGCATTGAGAACCGGCACGATGAAATAATTTGCCAATACTTATGAAATTAAAACAGTGCATAGCAAATTAATGTAAATAATAGTTATATTAAAATTAACATTTATATCATATTTTCTAGTGATAGCATTGTATTGGGAAAAGAAAGAAAAATGCTAAAATATTAATGAAAATGAAGGAATTTAAAAATCAAAACCCGCGGCTGTTAGTCCGCGGTTGATCATTCTAAAGGAGTATGCAGCGGTGGTTATTGGCCTTAGATGAACCTGCATCTACCCCATGCGGTAACACAGTCGTCAACCACGAACCATCGGGGTACGAAAGCACAGTTTATAGCCATGTAACATGCTTGATAATTTGTCAAAATCATTATTATTGCTAATGTTTTAAGACGTATAATACTATTACATATATAAAAGACTTCATACATACAATATTAATGTTTTAAAAAAATCTGTTTAACAAATTATTGTTTATGATACATTTCCACCCGAATTCGCGGTAACGTATGTATCAAAATGTTATCTATTAAATTGTCTATTTGTATATATTATGGTCTATATATCTATTAATAACAGTTTTATAAATAAACAAAAGAACGCAATACGTTTTATGATTTTTACATTGGAAATTTCACATAGGTGGACCGTTGGACCGTAATAGGGGATGCTGGAACGCGGGAAATTTTGTTCCAGTGCCGCAATCGCAACGGCTTTGGCAGTTTCAGGTGGAAAACAAACTAGCTGTGATAATGAAACTACCAAGTTATCTTTACATTTGCAGAATGAACGATATATTTGCAATCCTGATAATCTATACGCTACACCACGAATCGATTTGCATGAGATAGAATGGTAAATAGCACGTTTCTTTTCATTATACTAATAATTTATAAATTATCATTAAAAATATAAATTATAAGTAACTTTTACATAATCTCTAATTATTCAAATAAAAAGGTACAACTTAATTTCAGGATAGAAGCTGACTCGCTAGAGACTGATGTCCCAAAATTTGTAACCGGTTCGTCAATAACAGCAACAACTGCAACGCGAAATAATTTGAGAAAATGTTGCCGAACTTCAACCAGTTCTGGTTACTCCAGTCATTCTCCGCCATTGTCAGCTGGTTCATATTCTTGTTATGCTTCAGCAGTTTCCGGTCAGAGCTTTTTTCGAGGTATACCTTTAACAATGAAGGATCAGTTTGGCGGAGGTCTTGCTGTAATTAACGAAAGCGAGTCAATTCCACGTCCTATTTGGCCAACCGCGTTTCCCAGTCCACGCGAACTTTATCAGAGCGACGAAAATCCCGAATACGATAGTAAGTATCAATATGTTTATATAGTAAATAAATTTTTTATTGCTACATTATAAACATACTAAATATATTTATGTTGTGATATATAATAGCTTTATACACGTGTTGCGGATGCGGTTGCGCATATACCTATTCGTATTGTGATTGGGATTATGAAAAATCTGCAAGTACATCAGCACATGATGTCCTCCTTGAATTATCTCGAACACTGAATTCTGTGATAGAAGGCAAGAACGCTATGACACCAGAAGAAATCTTACATAATATCTCATATAAGGTTGCTCAAGGAATTGGTTTCAAAGGAGGTCTTTATGAATACGTTTATCATAATTCCTCTTTCGTACCAAGCAAACGATCATTCTTAAGCGACAAGAATTCATGTCTATTAAGCTGTAATAAAAATTCATCATCGAAGATCAATCCAGTAAACTCAAAACTTTACAATAATACGCGACAGTTTTATCTACACAATCCATGGTACACTTGCTTATGCACCTGTGAACATACTCATAGATTTTTATCGTCTTCGAAGAATGATGAACAAACCGAGATGATCGATGTAGCGGAGAAGAAAAAAAATCCATCTGTTGTGCTTTTGATGGACAGTCATTCTCAAAGAACAAATTTAGAATCAACATTGCAGAACAATAAAAATACTTCTGAGTCGCATATTTGCAAGTGCCTGAATCGTTCAACTTCTCATAATAAAAGAGTGCAAAATGTATATGTTAATCATTGCATTAAAAGTGATACGAAAGAAACCATTAATATCAATGAAGAAACCAAGCAGAACCTGAATAAAGTTATTTCTAACACCCCAGAATACTCTATGGTAAGTGCTATATATACTCCTAAACTATGTATATACATATAATGTAGGTCAAGGCAGATTTTGTAATCCTTTAGTCCATTTCATTATTTAATCTACCAGTTTTTACAAATATATTTAAATGAAAGTTAATTTTCCAAAGTATGTAAGAAGTATATAAGTATTTCCATATAATAAGTTTATTAAATGTAATATATGATCTTCTTCGCATAACAGCGTTAGGTGCAAATAACAGTATTCACAATATCAATGTAACCAACGTATCAAGACTGATGTTTCAGCAGTTGGAGTGCAGTGATGGTGATTCATTCAACAAAGATATAGCCTTCTCATCCAACAAAAATAATTGGGATTACCATATACGAGGATTTGCCGAAGATCTAGATTTTACACTTGACGTTTCACGAGCTGAACGCTTGGGTCGTGTGATTGCAAAAGCAAAACAAAAGCGACATTGGTGCAGAGCCCTAACTGCCTTCTTCGGACTAGTCTTCTTTCTTTTAAGTGTCGTCATTGTTTCCTTGTCCGTAACGAGAGGTCGTAAAGTATTTGGAAGCATGTAATTCGATTTATAAACAGTAACAATTTAGTCAAAATATTCTCATAATGGCTATCATGGTAAAAATACTGACTGACACTTACTCTATGTATTTTTAGTACCTTATACTACTAAGTAAGATTAACAGGATTTAAATTCTGTTAGCAATATATGGCTGTGACCATGTTCTTATGTATAAATATTAATATGCAATGTATATCCAGATAAAATAGTAAATAATAGTTAAGACAAACAATGAAATATGAAAATTGTACAATCAAAAGTTTGGATGAATAAATAAAGAAACTGAAATAAATTGTAGCTAATCTTTTATCAGCAACTTTAATTTAATGTAGTGACAATGGACTAGAATTGCTATGCATTAGGACTCGAATTTAATTCCAGTGAGGATGAAGGGAGAATAATCTTTTTTCTTTCCATTATATTTTACTTTGTATGACTTTTTTACATATAAAAATACATAATGGAGTTTAAATAAATTAGAAATAAAATGTCTTAATTTACTAGATATCTTACAAAAATTTTATATGCTATTATCATTCATATAAGTATAAAAAAATATTTATTACAAAATAATAAATAATAATGAATAATGAATAATATACAGATATGTATAATAATATAAAATATAAAGCTTTTAACCCATATTCTTTCGTTTCACCATTACCACAATCTTTACAAAATAGTTATAACTTAAGCACAAACAAAACCGTGGACCAAAAAGAAACACCAGGTTGTATTAACTATTTGTATAAATATATATCTTTATGTTCTTTTATGGCAAACAAAATTTTTGTAAAATATTTATTAAATTAAGACATCTTATTTCTAATTTATTTAAACTCCATTATGTATCTTAATATGTAAAATTTCATATAAAATAAAAAAGAATTGAAAGGATAAGGTTATTATCCGGTTCTCTCCGGAGTTAAATCAAATGCGTATAAACACACTAATCCATTGTCACTCCACTAAACCTCCACATTGGAATGATTCCGAACAGAACTTTCTGAATAATTCTTTCCGAACAGAAGGTGAATTAAATAATAAATTTTCAATTACAAATATTTTAAAAATTATTGAGTAGTGGTACCTATAATCATATACCTTCACCATGAGGAGAAATAAATCTACTATCCTGTAAAATTTGAGCTAAATAGGTGACTTGAAACCCTTGCAGTCTCTTTGTTAATAATATAATTATTTAATTTTACTGCTTTTATTGAGACATTTGTAATTAATAATTAATATATTAAAGGTATTTAAAGTATTTCAATAGAAGAAACACTGTTTTAAAAATATTATTTTAATTAGTGAGGCTAATGATTGCGCATGCTTTTACGAACACGAGTATATATATGTATAACACAAGTAATGTCTAATAAAATTCGATAATCTAAAATATAGTAACGGATAATACGTTCAAAATTTAAGTTATAATAATAAAAATATTAACTTGAATAATACTTTTATGCTTAAAATAGTAAAATAAACTATTATAAAGTTGAATATTTAATACATATCTTTTAACTCAAGTATAAAGGTTATATTCTCCTGTACATTTTCGCATTAATTCATTATTGACCCAATCATTTTGAATAACGATAAGAAAAATAAGTTTATCTGACTTACGGTATGAATTTCAATTTTTGCTTATATTAATCATGTGAAAGTAGTTACATAAAGAAATAATGTTTATCATTAAATTAATCATTAGTATATATCAACCTTTATTGTTCTAGATTTTATTTTAAATTACCTTAAAATGGTGTGTATACCATGTATAGCTATACCAATATTACTCATTATATGGAGATTCCTAATACAACCATTACTTATAGAGTGGTGGCAGTTCAGAAATAAACAAAAAGAACTAACAAATAATGAGCAACCTCGACAATTGGTAAAAAAATGTAAAGATGGAGTTTGTACACTATCATGGGTAGAAAAACACCAGGAAAATAAAAAATTGGATTAAAAAGTATTGAAATAAAATTTATCTGTAAACAATTATTTTGAATATTGTTCATATAATTTAATATATAATGTTAATTGGTTTTTGTATTTTATGTTATAACTTTTTTAATGATTATAAGCATATTATTATATTTTATGCAAATCATTTATTGTTATCATGCATCAATAATATATAATATATACTACTATAAATAAATCAAAGATATATTGCATATAAACGGATATAATTTTACTTTATATTTTAACATAGTTACCTGAGTTTTCTTATAGTTTATATTCACAAGAACTGAGACCTTTTGATAGGTAATAAAAAAGGAAATTACGTTTATTAGTTTAAAATACATTATACATCACTTAACAAATACTTAGATATCAATCAAATATTCATGAAATTTAATGTACATTCCTAAGTTCTACTTCAAACACCAATGTACTGTTGCCAGGAATAACAGGTGGTGAACCTTTTGCTCCATACCTATAACAAACACACAACTTGTAAAAAATGACATGATCATAAGTAATATATCAATATTTTTAATTTACAAATGAATAATACATACGCCATAGCTGGAGGTATTATAATACGTCGTTTTCCTCCAACTTTCATTCCTACAATACCAATATCCCATCCTTTTATTACTTCTTCTCTTCCAAGTCTAAACTTGAAACCATCTCCTTGTGTTGTTGAATCAAATTTTTTCCCATTTTTCAAACGACCCACATAATACACCGATACAAATTTTCCACTCTTTGCAAATGGACCATTACCTACTTTTATTTCCTCTATTTGCACTCCACCTTCGACTATTCTTTTTTTCTGGTCATTTTGAATATTTACTTCATTTTGCTGGTGTTCTCCTTTACTTTTTTTTTGTTTCACTTCTTTCCCATTTACTAATTTTTTCTTATCTTCTTTTTTTTTCTGTTGTTTATTCTTTTTATCTTTTTGTTGAAGCTTTATTTTCTTTTCTTCTTCTTCATCCTCTTCATCATCTTCCTCGCCTTCCACACCTTCTTCAGAATCTTCATTTAATAAGGATTCTTCTTCTTCCTCAGAATCATCCGAATCATTGTCTTCATTCATACCATCTAGTTCTATATCCTCATCAGAAGATTCTGGTTCAATTTCCTGTTTAGGACGCTTGACATTTTTTTCATTTTTTAAAGAATCTATAGCTTTCCTTTTTGATTGTTTATCAACTAATTGTGGTGATTCTTCATCATCTTCTTCTTCTTCCAGCTCATCCAAATCTAAATCTTCTGGTATTAAATAGCCAGTTAAATGTACCTGACCATGACCATGACATATAAATGCTATTGTAGTTCCTTCTTGAAAGTTTAAATCAAGTGGTACTTGCCATGTTGAGCTCTTTTTTAAATTGCATAATAAATAGCTACTATCTTCATAGTACAACATTACTTGTACCACATTATCATCTATAGTAAATAAAATTAAAAATTACATACAAAAATATCATTCAAGGATGTGACATATTTTGATATTCAACTACTTATTTAAATTCCTAGTAATAATTTGCTTTATTTTATTTTATAAATTTTAAACAATGAATAAAAATTAAACTTGATGTAGAATAAATTTATTAATTTTACCAGATGTTTGAAGATTTAAACTCGCCATTGACACGTGGAATGATTTTTCAACGGTTTGTGTATATCGTTTATTTGGTTCCAATATTAAGCCTGAAATAAATCACAGTATTATTAATATTTTACATCATTTTATACCAACCAAACATTTTTTTTGAAAGGGCGATCAGTTTTTGTAACCACATGGTAACGCCATTTTAAAACAGTCTATACCGGCAAAATTTGGAAATCCATCATATATATCACAACGATAGCGATTTCGCTTACCCCAAAACATTTTGGCTCTGTAATCGTATAGCTTTTATTTTAGTAAAACGAGATATTAACAATTAAAGTTTATGCACGTAAAATAATAATAATAATAATAATAATAATAATAATAATAATAATAATATATATATGTATATACACAGCGCTTTGTATAATCAATTACATATAGCAGGTACCCCTTATGACCTCGCGCCAACTTATAATGAACAACTCGAAGACTTCATATAGCACCGTTACCTAAAAGTCAGTTTCTGTCATGAACTAGTTTTTCATAGATTCAATGTTATGTTGCAGAAACACTGATATGACAATTTTTAGAATATATGTGTATTTTTTAAATTATTAAATTAATAAATAAATTTTTTATTCAATAAGAGCGAAACAAAATTTGTAAATTTAAATAATTAAATAACACATAATTTAGTTTTTCATTATGTATCGTCAAAGTTTATATTTCTGTTCAAAAAGATAAATTTAGTCAGAATGGAATAATTTTATTAATTAAAATTCGTTAATGTCATGAAGAAATACGTTTCTATGTATCAATATAGCAGTTATTTATCTTAATTTTATATTTAAAGTAATATTTCTATGAAACTTCTTTGCGCGTAATATGTTCGTAATGATGTTAGAGGTATGGATTTCTAGGGTGAACCATGAGAACTAATCGACGATATATCTATATCATATATATTTTTTGGTTTAAAATGTTTGACTATTGTAATTGAAAATAGAGTGTAATTTGTGAACTTATATAGTGTTTTAAAGATTTATATTGTGAATTACAAAAATGATGATGGATTATTTTGTTACAAATAATTCTTTAGCACCGGCACCTATGGGAATACAGAGTACAGCAGGTGCTGTACCTGTAAAAAATGACAAAGGTTAGTAATTAAATATTAGAATTCTAATTTGGACTTGATTACTTATAATAATAATGTTTTCTATTATTATTAATATAATAATGTTACTATCGCTACAAAATCAGTAACAAAACAAGCAAAAGTTATTGCACTATATTATGTTTTAAAATGTTGCATTATATAAAACTTTATTTAAATTTATAGGTGAACTTTCTATGAAAAAAGTAAAAGTACATCGTTATGTATCTGGTAAACGACCTGATTATGCACCAGCTGCTAGTTCAGAAGAAGAATCTGAAGAAGAAGATTTTTTGGAAAGACGTGTACATAAAAGTTATGATGAAAATGAAATTTCTACGGATATTCCTTCACAATCTCAAGTTAAAATATGTGATGAAGATGATCCACGTATAAGAAGATTAACACGTTTAGAGAAGCAAAAGGAATCTAATACAGAAATTCGTGCAGAAAGACATAGGCACATACATGAACCAGAATTAATTGAAATTGAACCTGAAAGAACTCGAGAAAGAATTAAATTAGAAAGTTCAGATTCTTCAGAAGATGAAGAACTATCAGATTCTGAAATTGAAAGGAGACGAGAAGCATTAAAACAACGTGTTTTATCTAAAAAAGAAAATGAAGAAGAATTAATTCATGGAGAAGAAGATGAAAGATCTGGTGATACCTCGGAAGAAAGTTCAGAATATGAAGAATATACAGACTCAGAGGAAGAAACTGGACCAAGATTAAAGCCAGTTTTCGTACGTAAAAAAGATAGAATTACAGTAATGGAAAAAGAGAAAGAGGCAATGAAACAAAAGCAAGCAGAAGTTGAAGCTAAAAAAATAGCTGAAGATCGAAAACGGCAAACATTAAGGGTAAATTTTATTGTATAAATAAATAAATAAATTAATTAATTCATAAATTAATAAATTGATTAATTAATTATTATTTTTACATATAATATAGATGGTAGAAGAAGCAATAAGAAAAGAAACACAAGTGGGAAAAAATACTAGTGAACATGAAGGGAAACTTGAAGATGTTTGTACAGATGATGAAAATGATGAAATTGAATATGAAGCTTGGAAATTACGAGAATTAAAAAGGATTAAACGTGATCGTGAAGAAAGAGAACAGTATATATCATTATCAATAATAGTATATACATTCAATATATATTTTTACGAACATTTCTTTTTAGGCTCGAAAAAGAACGACTTGAAGTTGAACGTATCCGTAATATGACAGAAGAAGAGCGAAGACAAGAAGCCCGACTAAATCCAAAAATCATTACAAATAAAGCAGCCAAAGGAAAATACAAATTTTTACAAAAATATTATCATCGTGGAGCTTTCTATTTGGATAAAGAAGATAATATATTTAAACGAGATTTCTCTGGTGCAACTTTAGAAGATCATTTTGATAAAACAATATTACCAAAAGTTATGCAAGTGAAAAACTTTGGACGCAGTGGTAGAACTAAATATACACATTTAGTTGATCAAGATACTACTCAGTTTGATTCACCATGGATCTCAGAAACAGCACAAAATTTAAAGTTTCATAACAATCAAGCTGCAGGAATGAAGCAAGTATTTGAACGACCATCATTAAAAAAGCGAAAAAATGAAAATTAGCAGAGTATATAAACAAATTTTTATTTTAATAAAATAATAAAATTTATATGTTTACAAAATAATATATTTTGTTATTATATTTTCAATCTAACATTAATTTGTTATTAATTATAATCCTTTAATATTTTTACTATACGGAGTGAGTGTTACTTAAAATTATACATTGTAACAGTTACCAGATATTTGCTTAAAAAATGCTATTACCATGTAATTTAGTATGATACAAATTTAGAAATGAGAATAGTGCCAAAAAGTTGACACTATCTTTATTAAATATATGTATATAATACATACAAAATTCATCAGCCAGTAAAAATTGTATATATTGGTATGATTGTAATTTTTTTATTTTAGTAGTAGTTGACTACTCTTTGATTTCTTACATCGCAATTTAATAAGAATGAAGTGAAAATGAACACGAGTTGATTATTTATCATTGTAATAATAGAAAAAGTTATAATTAAGTTTTTAAAATTGTTAAAAGATGTAGGTGTATTATGTATTACATAATAAAAAAATATAAAAAATAGAAGTTCAGAAATATTTAGGTTAAAAGTGATTCTACTATCAATAGAATACTTAAGTGTAATAAATAATACAAACCAATTGCTACAAATAATTTTATACAGACAATGATCTCAAACATTCTTCTTATGTCATTAAAAGCTGGTTATTATACAGCTACCTGAAAATAATTTAAATGCTGCCATAATCATCAAACTATAAGGTTTTATATAACATTCGTTATAATAATCAGTAAGTGGAAATTTTTAACATATTTTACAATATTTATTTATTTAACTTTTATGTAACAAGCTTTTTAAAGCTAATTTTGCAGCAGCACACTTTGCTTGTTTTGTATTTGTACCAAATCCATGAAAAAGCTTTGCCTTTCCAGCAATAATTACTTTTAAAGTTGTCATAATAATACCTGTATTATCAATAACATTTGAATCTCTAGAAAAAATATTATGTAATTAACCAATTTCGATAAAAATAAAATATTATTTACTAATAGTAATACATACAAGAATTGTGGTTGTGCACCTTGAATTTCATATAAAACACGAATTGGCTGCTTTGGAATATTTTTGCTGAACTTTTCTAAATAAAAATTATTTTAAGTAAATGACATGACAAAATATTTTGTAGTTGTTAAATTATTTTTAGAAATAATTACCAATTACATCATACATAATGGAATATATTATTTCCCATACTACCGTAAGATTTTTATTACTATCCAAGTATATTGCACCTATTGTGGATTCAAATATATCTCCTAGAACTTTAGGAACATCGACATATTCAGCTACTTTACATTCGCATTCTTCTAATAAAATCCATAAAAGCTGTAAATACAAAATATATTGTATATGTACATAAAATTATATTGTATTATTTTACAATAATTCAAAATATATTTGACATTTTTCAGTAATATCAAATACCTCATCATTTATAACATGATTTCTTTCTTCTTGATACTTTACAAATCGTTCTATTACGTTACTTAATTGTGGGGTATAAGATAGCAATGCAGTATGTAAACCATGTCGTACAGCTAAACATGCGAAAGTAATATTATTAACGAGAGCAGACCTTAAATCTGTCAGAGTGCCAGGGTTGATATTTTTGCAATTTTCATAAATATAAACTGTAATTAAGAAATCTAAAATAATGAATTAAATTATAAATTAACATTTTGCTAATCGATAAATTTTTTTAAAATAACATTTTAATACAATATACATTTTATTACCAATTACTGAATCACCAAGAAATTCTAATTTTTCATAACTTCCAGTTATATTATTTGGCGTATACGAGGGATGCGTATATGCCTGAAATATTTAATTTTTACTTACAATTTGTACAATGTGTTCAATTAAGTAGTCAAATTAGAAATTAAAAGTGCAAAAAATTATAAGAACTTAATATAAATAAAAAGTTTAATTATGATTTTGATTTATTAAAAAATAAAGAAAATAATGGATTACCTCCAATAAATAGCTTCTATTTTTAAATTTATATCCAATCCTTGTTTCTATGTCAAGAACCCAGCGCAATAAATTGTTTATTTTTTCTTCAGATATATCAATTTTCGGAGATTCCAATAATAATGCATCAATATTAATATCATTTGGTAAAATTTGAAACCATTTTAATAATGTTACAGTGTCTTCAATACCCAGACTCTATTAAATACTTACATTAGAACAAATTTTAATACTACAAAACCAGCTTTTATACTTACAATGAGATATGCACCAATTAATGCTTCTACACAATCAGCTACTGTTTTATCAGAAACAGTTTGTATTCCTAGATAATGTTCCATACCAGTTTGTAACTCTGCTGTTTCCCAATCTAATATTTTTCTTTCTATTATATTTTTGGTGTCATCACTTATAAGTCCACTAATCTGTTCACCTCGAGGTATTACAATTTCATATAAAACATTTGGTGATACCTTATACAAAATTATGTCCATTGTAATCAATTTTTACTTTATTAAATTTTATAAATTATTTTTATTTTGCATTATGAAATACTATATATTTATAGAAATATTTTTAAATATCTTATTGTATATTCTATGATACAATCAAATTATTTTAAATGCTCTTTTCTATTACTTACTATATTTTTATTAAGCAATATGATTTTGCTTTGGATATTAAAAAAAATACAAACCTTTAACTTTAATAATATATTTTGTAAGTCACGAAAAACTGTGTAAGCTGGAGCAATGAAATTGCTTAAAGGTATAAAACTATCAACTTTCATTCGTCCTGGAATATTTTTCTTCATCCCACAATAACAAAGATTACGATTCCCAATTATTTTTCCTTTTAATGATGTTAAAATTCCTTCATTATATCTTGGAAAGTTATTGTACAAAAATACAGAAACAATAAATTTTAAATATGAATCGCCTAAAATTTCTAGACGTTCTAAATTAAATGCATCAAGTCCTGATTTAGCAGTTAAAGCCTATAAAAATCCACTTTATTATAAATAAATTAATTACAACCTAAATGGAGAAATTGAAAATGTACTTACATACAGTATCTGAACAGGATTAGGACCACACGAATTTTTTAATGATAAAATTTGCAAAGGTAGTACCGATATTAATGGTTTATTTTTAAAATTATTTATGGTAGGCTTCTATAAAAACATAAAAATAAATACATATCAAATATTAATATTATTTGTAACTATCATTAATATTATCAGAAATGAAAACATAGATATTTATAAATGAAAAAAAGTAATTTGCAAAATATTACCATTATGCATCTATTTTCATTATCTGTTTCATACATAAATTGCATATAATATTCTATTTGAATTAGTTGAATTTCTGTAGCATTTTTGTATAAATCTAATGGTTCTTCATGTTTTGACCATGGATAATGATATGCTTCCACATTTAACACTGTGTAAATACAAACAAAAAAACAGTTTGATCACAAATGTAATAGTTTATGAATTAAAATAATGAAACACAATTAACATAAAAGAATATCTAGTTAATAAACAGGAACTATGATCAAAATAAAAGAGAAAAAGGTAAAAATACACAACCGTCTACTTCTGGTCCACTTAAAACTGGTTCTGATTGCAAATCATCAACGTTTTCTGTAGTAGCAGTTTCTAATAATGATTCAAATGTTTCATTTTGTTCTTCCTCAGTTATTGTTAGTGGGCTCCACCTCTTATTACTTGTTAATGATCCTAAATTAGCTTCTTTAGCAATAATCTGTCTTAAATCTTCTGCAACTAAAAGTTGAGAAGTTCTGTGTAAAATAGATGGTAATATTGTTGCTTTGAGCCAATACAAAGCTGGAAAATTAATTTTAATGCATAACTCTGGAACTAAATGTTCTTTCAAATTTTTGGATGCATCTGCATATCTGGGATTTTTAGCTTCACGCTGCATAAATCTATATAAAAGAAAAATAACAATTATGACCTTAACTTCAATTAAATTTACATAAGAATTCATATATTACCTAGGCATTATATAATCAATATTTTTTGATATGGCTTTTACTTCTAACATTGGTTGATCTAAATCATTTATAATCAAACCATGCTTTTCCTTATAATAATCAGCGTAAGAAACAAAATTATCAGTTGGGAAACAGGAATTTGGTGTAATATCATCACATACTTTGGTAACAATGTAAATGTCTGCAACTCTATAATTGGGTTTAACTAATGCTAATTCATAATTAGTTTCGAAATTGTTTGGTGTTGGTACTGTTGGTGGTACATACACAATAGATTTGTATTGTGTCATTACTTCCCAATTTATATTCCAGTTTTTATCAACTAAATAAACAAATTTAAAAATAGTGTATTTCAACTCTTTATTTGTAAGTTTTAAAATGGAAGATATATTTAACGATTTCTAATATTAAGGATATCTTTCATAATAAAAAAAGACAAAAACATTTTTATTACTTAAATAAAATTATTAATTCATATCTAAGCATAAATTTTACTTACCTGGTACAATTAAAAAACAATTGTCAAGATTATAATTATCAAATACCATAAACGTCTTTATAACTGTAATGATTTCACTAAATATCAAGCTATGAAAATCTTTTATTAACTTAACTTCTTCTTTGGATAAAAATATTTTTGTATGATTTACCTTGACATCAATATCTAATTCACCAACACTCATAAAGATCGGAAAAGATGGTATCTACAAACAGAGCATATTGTATAAAATATTCATTATGAAAATCATAAAAGAAACCTAAATTTATACCTCTGGCATTTGTTTTGCAGAAAGTATTCCAAAACCTGCGTCGTTATGTAACAAATTATAAAATACCAAATATCGATTATCATAATGTGGTATAGCATATTTAGGTTTGACATGAAAAATATGAAGATATGTTATTTGTTGTGGTAGTGGAAAGGCTGCACATAGAACTGATGGAAACTATAAATAATATTGAAATGGTAATTTTTCTAACAATAATATTTATTATATTTTGATCACTAAAGTAAGTTACCTGTAATTGATGACATCGTTTTTTCTTGTATGTTCCTATAGTAAAAGCTTTTTCTGTTTCATCCTCATCAATCCAATTTGGAAATAAATAATTTAGATTTTTTTGAAGGAAACTGAATGTAACTGGCTCAAAATCATCATTTAATTCACCAATTTTATATAATTCTATACATGCTTTCAGAGCAACAGATTTCTTTGCATCACGAATATTAGACATGAGATCACCAAAAATAGTAGTTCTTAATGGTGATGCAATTGGTAATTTAAGAGAAACCTACATAAATTTAATAAAATCATGATTATCATATAAAAGGAAAAATAAATAAATAAAAATGTAAGTGAAACTTTGACCATTTTAATACCTGAAATTGTAATTTATTTGAATCATTATATAAAGTCCAAGTAGGTGATAAAGTTACAAATTTACATTTCAATAATGATTGACAATATTTATTTATTATAAAGATCGCTGTGTTGCTAGTTATGTAACATTTCTTTTCTAAATTATCAGAAATATATGGTTCTATTTTATAAGAATATAACTGAACCTTAAGTTCATTTTCAGTTGGTAAATTACGTTCATTACTCTTACCTATCAAAATCTAGTTAAAAAATGAAAAAATTTAATAATTTTTTGAAACCTCCTAATGTTTACACTTATAATATTTGCAATATCGATATTTAATCACATGCCCCTAGTTTTAAATAAAATAGATATGAAAAATAAAAATATAAACATGAAAAATTGATACCTCATTTAAATGGTGTTCTATCATTTTATAATTTTTATATCGTTCCAAGAACTTTATGTCACCTTCTTGCATCAATATTATATACTGACCTAATTTACTTCGTGTTCTTCCTTTACTTTGTATGTATGTTCTCACATCTAATGGAATATCATACCTTATAATTAATGAACATAATGGTATATCTATACCTTCATCTAAAATATCTGTTGTAATAATACAATTTGACAGACCAATTCTAAACCTAAAAAAATATTTAAAAAATTATATATCTCTTAGGTAATAAGATATTTATACAGTATGAAACGCCAGATATTGCTATCTAGATTTAGATTTCGTATAACAATATTAAAATTAAAATATCTCATAAACTAGTTGTTTTTCGGTTTTAATGGATTAATACTTTTTTTATAGAAAGAAGCAAGATACATCGATTAGTGTAATAAAAAATATATCATTTCAGTTAAAAAAATGTTACTGACCTTCTATGCTACCTACACATCCATCTATAAAAAAAAACTAGCTAGTATCATCAAAATGTGCCCCTTTTGAAACCATGCAATTCCATTTGAAACATTTTTTACATTATAGTAATGACAAATCTAGATGGCTGTATCTGGTGCTTCACCTTGTGTATATATATCATTTAATATATCATATTAAATCATATATTAATATATCATATTACAATATTCTGTATATATGTGATATTTATAATTTACTTTATAATTTTTGTATATTAAAGGATAATATGTAAATGTACATTATATATATTACATAAATATGTAAAATTATACCTGTGTAAAGATTCCCTACTCCATTTTCTTAAACATAATGCTTTTTTGTAGATTGATTCACATGAAGCACCAACTATCATATCTGGATGCAAGAATTTATATTCTTCATCATACATAGATACTGCCTGAAATAATACAAATTACATATTAATGACAATACAATAAATTAATGCAAATTATTAATATACAAACTATTTTTTACCTTTATGATCTGATACAATATGTTTACAGTGCATCGTTCTTGTACAAAAATCATGCAGCAAAACTTCAATTCTTTATTTTTATTATCATTAAATTTTTTTAGTATTCTAAGAAGTTCCAGAATTTTATCAGATGAATAACTGAAATTACATTATCTTCTTTAAAAATATTTAAACACTTTATTTATACATAGTAGGATACCTAAAACAGGTACTTTAATGGCGTTTAATAAAGCCTTTAACACGTTAGGTACCACGGACGCAGACTTTAGGTTCCTATTACACGACCGCGCGTGCCTGTCCTTGCGTACTGATTGTGAGACTAAATATTTTGCTTACGCGACATCGGTTTTTGTTCAGTCAAGGTTTAAGAAAAATGATATAATATTTTAAAAGAACTTAATATAATATATTAAAACAGGATAAACAAAGGTGTCTCCACTTCGCCCACTTGACGGCCGAGGCCGGGCCTAAACAGAACGTCAAGCAAGACGGGTTGGGCACTTAACGTGTTAAACATAGATTATTGTATTTTTCTCAAAATGCTCTATCAAAAGATAAATAAAACAACATATCACTCCATTTTAAAAAAGGAAATTTACTTTGATATCTTTTTCTTTTTATAGAAGAAAAAAGAATTGTTGATATCACATTATGCCTTCTTCAAAACTAAACTTGGTGTGATACAACTTATTTAAGTGATCTGTCTTTGATGACTCATTCTATCTGTTAATTATATAATGATTAATGAATTATGCATTATATATAAACATTTACAAATTCATTTTAAATTCATAGTTATATTTATTAATAAAAGTATCTTACTTGTAAATCTTTTCTTTTTCTGTATTGTTTTTCATTTCATCTTCTAATAATTTTCTACATTTAGTTACTCCTGTCGTAAGGTATTTTAAAACATGTATAATTTCCTAAATATAATATTTTATATTACATAACATTAACGAAAAATAAAATATTATTATGTTTGATATTTACATACCAGATTTGTTTCAGTCCTTAATCTTTTCATAGATTCTAAGAAGATTAACATATTTATAGTGCATAGATTTGCACCATAAATTCCTGTATCAAAAATCAAATTTGTTAAGCTATGTAAACATTAACATGTTCAGCCCAGCACCGATATTGCTGTCCTTTCCGTTCAGGCTGCAACGAGCGAGTATTTGGGCGATATTTGAGACAGCTGACAATGACAGACAGCTAGAAATTTGACAAAAAAAAGTCGTCACGTTTTGTAATACATGCAAAACCAAACCATATTTTTGTTTAGAGTATTTTAATAAATATCATTAACATTACTACATTTATTTTTTAATTTTAATACTGTCAATCCCCAGGGAGCGACGCCGTCCAAACGAAAAGTTCACTGTCGGTCCCCAGGGACCGACGCCGGCTAAACGGAAAGTTCACTGTCGGTCCCTAGGGACCGATGCCAGGCTCAACGTGTTAATATATAAATTTGAACACAATTATTTCTATAAATTATTATTTATTATTACATCACACATACCTGTAAAAGAAAATTGTTTTTGAAAGTTTGTCAAAATTAACTTCAATTTTTTATTAATAGGTTTTGGTTTAAATACTTTGCTTGACATATCAGTATTCAAACTATCATTGAAAACTAAATTCTCTAGGATTTCTTGCATTTCCTCGATAATATTATTCACAAGTTTTGTAACATTAGGTAAAATATACTGTTTGAATACAATAATTTTTTCTTGTGGATTTGTACAGTAATTTTGAAGTACTGATTGTGTTGTAATTATTTTTGCATGAAATGTAACTTCTAAAGACTATAATGAAATTTAAATATTGTATTGTATTAGTTATAATAAACATTTTATATAATTATGTAAACAAAATTTACCTTAATTAATGTTGAAATGTTTTGTGACTTTGCATTATGATTTAGTAATGTTGCTGAGAGTCCTAATATTTTTGGTTGTTCTTCTTTAGGATGATATTGAAAGAATTGCATAATTTGCCTCATAGGATGATTGTTCACTGCTCTATGACATTCATCAAAAATAATTAGATTTATTTTATTTAAAAGTATATATCCATGAAGAAGGGCATTTGTTAAAATTTGTGATGTCATTACTAAAACCTAAATTATAATTTTTGACATTTTAATATTTTTAACTGAACTTATTAGACTAATTTTATATTTATATAATTCTATAAATTCCATATAATCTTTTAGTACCTTAAACTTGTTTAATTGTTCATTCCATTCTATAGCACTCCAATCATCAATTCCTATATCACCACTTAATGAAGCACAAGGAAAACCAGTTAATCTTCTAATATATTCACTTTGTTGCATAACTAAAGGTACCGTATTTACTACGAATACAGTACATTTACCACCTTTATCATAAGATCTAAGTATGAAATCCAAATTCAATTATTAATAGCAAAATATGTTTATTTTATTTATAATGATAATTTAAAAAATATTTATGATTCATACATTTGTAAATCACCACTTAATTCTTTTATAAGCATAACAGCGATATATGTTTTTCCAGCACCCGTTGGTAAATAAATAATAGTATTTTGTTTACATGCAGTTTCAAATAGTTCAAGTTGATAAGCTCTTGGTATAAAATCATCAGCAGTCTCCATAATTTAAAGGATATTTATACGTGTGTATGTATTAAAAAAGACAAAGTACTTTAAAACTGTAATTAAAATCAATGGAATTTATCAAAAGTAAACAAAATTTTCATTAAAATTAATAATATTTACAACATCGAAATTTAAACAATCACAGTTTAAATAACATAAAATACATAGAATTCTTACACGTTAGCTATAATTCTTCAGTAATTTTACAAATATTTTATTTTACTCTTACTTTGATTTTAGGATGTAACAAGTAATTGCATCATTCAAAAATCAATATAGGCTGTAGGCAGGCGGTAGTTTCCCTTCGTTCGAAACTTGCACTCTGGTACGACCACAAACAGTTCGAGTGGGGTCTAAACTGCCAGGGAAAGCACGGTAAGAAAAGTGTTGACGCGGAGCGTCCTGGAGGTTTACTAAACTGGGATCTTTTTCTTTCTGAGGACAAGCGCCAATAGGGGCATATTATAAAGAAGTTCCGGTTATATTCGTTTCGAGTTCCCGGTGCAGCGAGGATAGCTACCGTAAGGGTTTTAGTTGGTAAAAATCCAATGTAACCTGTCTCCTCCTCTAAAAGAGTAAGCTATCTTTGGGGGATCTCCTCTATATAAAAAAAAAAAAGAAAAAGAAATCATACGAAAATCGAGAAAACTCTTTAATATTGTTAACACTAAATCGATAATAATCAAGCTATGCAACTCAACATTTTAAGAATTAATTTATTTCTTATAGTGATATTTTCAGTTGGTTAATCTGTCTACAATGAAAATTTATGTGGGCTCGATTTCATTAATATAACATTCTAAGTTAATTATTGAAATAAAAAGAATATAGTGTTTTAATATTTTTCCATTATATTATTATGAAATAATCTTAAACGAATTATTGAAATTTATACAATCAAAATGATACCAAACTTTGAATTACAAACGTTATATAAACTATATCTGTATTAATTTTAAACTAAATATTATTTAAATGAAATTTATTTCTCAAAAATCTTTAAAATACAATTATAAGCAAAACATCTATTATAGTTATTAATTACATTATGTAAAGTATTATTAAATTTGATTTATATGTGTATTATATAAAAACAAAATATTATAAAATGGAAACTCCTTTAAATGAAATTAATAATTAGTAATATTTGAATAGAAAAAATCACTAACATTAAATTTATAATGTACAGAACTATTATTAACATAAATACAAATATTTTTTTCATAAATAAATCATGGGACGAATTTGTAGTGTATAATAAATCTTTTCTAATAACATGTATTTTAAATTGTTTTCCTAAATTTTTGAATGTATTAAATAATGTCGTCCTTTATGTGAAATAAATTTTTACTTAAATAAAAAGTATAAATAAATTTATAAATCAAGTATATTTTAATCGATCGAAGTTGGTACTAACATCAAAGAATAGTATTTCAAATGTTTTCATCGTAGACGGCGATAAGGAAAGGACAATACTGCCTTAAATAGTTATATCATAGCCTAAATATTAAATATCAAAAAGAAAAGAGCTAGTAAGTAATATTGATTTATTTGATTAAACTATTTATGTATTAAATATTTATGATTTTTTAACTATTATGAACATTTATTATATTTTACAGCGTAACATTGATTAGAAAGATACCACACAATGTTTTCCAGGAGAGGTTTTGAAGTAGCTACTAGATGGTAATATTTAATTTATATTTTTAATGATATATTAATTAATTCATTTTTGAAATATTTAATCATTTTTTTAATTCGTATAATTGAATTTAATAATTGATGTTACAAGTATAATACATTTGTTGCAATACTACTGATACAAATTTTTTAGATACTTTTGTTGTAATATATATGTATAATCACAATATGGAATATATATTATAATATATTTATATGCAGGCTTCCATCTGCTCTAACCTATGGAGGAGCTGCTAGTTTAATGATACTTTATCTTACTGATTGGAAACTAGTAGTTAAACATATACCTTTCTATGGAGGAAAATTTAAGGAATCAAATTAGAAGACATTATATTTATTGTAATATGTTAACTTAATAAAATTTAATGTTAACTTAATAAAAACTTTATAGTCATTAAATGTATCATTGATTAAATACATTACATTTTATTTCTTTAATTAGATTCCATTTCCAATCATTTTTTTTACATTTTGCCACTCTTTTTATACTTTTCATATAATATATTTGCATCTTCTTCAATTTGTTGTGTTGCGTAAGTAGAAACATATGATTTAAAGTAAAACCTACATGTACAATAAATTTAATTACATATATTTATTTTTTATTGCCATTTGATAACAAACAATACAGTTATATTTACTTATAAGCACAGATGAATCCTATAGCTACAGCTATACTAGTAAATAATCTATTTAGAGATTTTTTAGGATCCTTGCGATTCGCCATGATATATTTCCTTTAACATAAAAAGCATTTTTAAGCTTTTTAGTAAAAATAAAATAAAGTACTTTTATAACACGTTGTATTATTATTATGTTAATTTTAATTTATCTTGCTAAAGAGTATAAAATATACAAACTAATATTTGATAATGTACAAATTATATTAATAATAATAACAGAAAATATCTTTCTTCTTAGTAGAAAAGATCTTACTTTATTGGAATTTCTTTCAGGGAAATGTTTTTCAGAGTATTCTTTTAAAGGTTTGTTCCAAATAATATAACCGCTGATAGCTCCTAATGTGGCCACTACATAACCTTGACGAGTTGTTAAACGAAATAATGCCATTCTTAGTATCAAAAGTTGATAATATTTGTAATATTATTAGCTGTAAATAAATGCGAATACAAAATTTTAATTTACACAACAAAATCACCTTTGTTTAAAATCAGTACTTAAAACTGAACTTGATACAGTTGTTGAAATACTTCACACCTAAATTGAACCTGTACACTATATACAGAGATGTATAAACTTATATCTTTTATGATTGAAAAATTTAGTAAAAATTTATTTTTATGATAAATTGAATTTACTACTAAATTAATTCATTTTTTTCTGGTTTTGTTCACAAAACTGCTATATTTTAGAACCAATAAGAATTATAGATCGAAGAAATTTGAAAAAACGTGCTTTTTTTGCAAGAAACCAAATTGAATTCGATGATTTCGAAATATGTTATAGAGGATGAAATTTTGGATAACTAAATTGGATTTAAAGAGTGTTTAATTTAATATTTTGGAAGACGTATCTCTTGCAGAAAAGAAATTATTTAATGACTCCAGTACAACCATATTTTTGATTAATATTAATTTCTTCGGTACAATTATTGTCGATAATAAATACGATTGATCGTCAGCTGAAGTCCACTTATAACATAAAAATATTATATTCCGTTTGGCTGTCAAAAAATAATATGTAGCAGACTAGCATTGTACAAAATACATTGTTTCATATAAATTTGTGATTGTAATGATCGTTTAAATTTTCCCAACGAATTTATAAAATCTATTGTATAGATTTAATTGTGTTTTGAAAACTTCTTGCATTGAAACAGGTAGTGTTCGAGATAATAAAGAAATTCCATGTTGATCACATATACTAATTAATTGATTTATACAATTTTGCAGAGAAATCTGGAAAAAAAAAAGTTGAAATAATGTATGTTATGTTAATCTCAATATATTTATTGTAAAAAGAAATATAATGTTATGTTATTAAATCAAATACGATATAAAAATATTTACCTTAATAAAATTTGGTACTGAAATTTCTGAAAATAGTTTCAACAAATATGCAACCAAATAGGGACTTATACGAATCATATCCTTTTTAAATTTTATTAAAGAACTTGTAAATCTGTATATGAAATAGAATAACTTAAAACATTTATAATTCTATATGTTAAATAAAAAATGTTTTATTTACCTTTCAATATCTAATGCAAGACATTTAAATCTCTGCTCTTCAAATTTATTAATAACAAATTTGGATTTATATACAAGAATATTTAATATTTGTCTATACATTATTAATAATGAAGGTATCCTATCTCTAATTAAATTTGTTCTCACTTTTAAAAGTACACTGCAGAATGCTAACGTATCGCTACAAATTAGTATTTTATCTTCTTTTAATGACTTTAAACCAAGAATTATGCTCATATCAATCACAAAACCAGGTAGATATAAATGTTTAGTAGCAAAGATATTTTGAATTAACTTCAATACATTTGGCCAAAATTTTTCTAATATATTTATAGTTTGCATTGTTTGAATTAAATTATTGATAGCTGTTATGCGTAATCTGTTGCGATCACTGGACATACTTGTTTTTAATATAACATTCCATATAATACAAATATTTTCTAAATCACTTTCGTGTGCGTTTAAAAGAGCTTTTACCTGTAATAAACTAATATAGTAAATATTTTGTTGGTAATAAAATTATAGTATTAAATATAGCAATTATTAAAATATTGTAATTATAAACATACCAATCGATTATGTAATTCTTCAAGAAATTCAGAGAATTCATTTGGTTCACTTGATTCTAATAACAGTGAAAGTGCTTCTACATATGGATATTTAAGTAAAGTAGACCATATTGCTCTTATGGTGAGATTCGTAATTTGAAATAATTTTTTATTTCGTAAAATAACGACTACGAGTTGCAAACCATCTTGCAATAATTCATTTCCAATTTTATTTTGATCATTCTATTAATTAAATACTATTAGTCTATGATTAATAACGATAAATTTTATTAATTATATTGTATTTACCATAAATATTTCTTGAATGGCTGATTCTGCTATTTTCTTTAATTTTTCATCAATATTCTCATTCTTAATACTAACTTTTAATATCAAATTTAATATTTTTGTATCATCTGTCTCGTTAAAAGATATATTTTTTATTATAATTTTCATTAATTTTTCTTCTGCTTTTTTAATTATTGTCTTTTGATTGATATTTAATTTTGTTTTAATATGTTCCATAGATTTTAATAATAAAAACATATTCTTATTTGAATGAGTAGAAGATCTTATACATTTTTTCAAACTTTTATATGAACAATCCTTAAAAAATGGTTCCAGTACTTTTTGGAATGTTTTATTTTGTGGTAACAGCTGTAATAATAAAAATGGATCTATATATTGGAATACATCAAGATTAGATTTTTCCAAGAGATCTAAAAATGAAAAAGTGTTTTATAAGTAAGTTTTGGTTATATATATTTTACCTATACAGATATGAAAAATACCTGAAAATATTGTATTGCATAAAAAGACCATTTCATTACATTGATTACATTCCATTTGAAGAGTGAATATGAATATAAATGTTATTAATCTCAAGTTAGTACTCAAAAATATCAATGGCAAATGTAATAACACCTCTAAACATGTTCTAATTTTACACAAAAGTGTACTTTGTATTTGTGTCCATTTACTTATTAATAATTCTTCTTTTATAGACATTAATATGTTATTTATTTTTTCACATTTAACAATTTCAACTTCAAATAAAAGTTCCTAAGGGAATAAACAAATACATATAACATTATTTAATTACTTGATCAAGTATTTGAATATTGATGAAATATTTATACTTACTGCATTAAAATATTTACTGATAGAGTTTGTTACACCCTCTGTTGCTAAATGTCCAATTTGTGTAAAAATACAAGTTAGTAAGAATATTATCAATCTTTTGTTTTCTTGTAAATCATTTTTATGCAATACTTTTACCCATTCATTAAAATTATCTACATTAGAAATCATATCTGTTAATAATAAATGTGTCAATTTTGATACTTGTTTATTACTCAAAGATGATATTACTTCTGTATCACATTTTAATATTACACTCCAATAATGCTCCAAATCACCTATCAAATTCTTAAGCATCATAGATTTGTTCAATCTATTTTGTAACATTTTTGTTTGTTGTAAGATAAGCTTATTCTGAAATTATAGTACACACACACACACACACACATACAAATATATTTAGATATATATTATATTATTTGTTAAAAAATAAATTTTTCCATATAAAATAATTTGATAAAGATAATAAAATTCTAATAACATACCATATTATTTTTATAATTCTCATTTTGTAATTCTTTAACTTTTTTAATTAATTGCTGCCATTGATTTTCTGATAGTGGTAATCCTAAATCTTCTGAAATGATACTTGGAACATAATATTTCAATGCTCTTTGAGTTTCATTCCATGCAAATATTGCAGGTAATAATATTATAATTTCTTCATTACGATTTAAATATAATGTTTTATCTATTAAAAGCAACAGGACATTTTTTAGATCATCAAAAGAAGTTATAAATTTTTTATAGGAAGGAGATGATCCACTATATTCAAAAATGCATATACCACTGAGAACTGTAATAAGTAATTCAACTATTGTTTGTAACATTAAATTATTTGTGCCTGTAATATATAATAAAATATTAAAATATGTAAATATAGAAGATAATTTCATTATTATTTATAATTATCAACTCTTACTGGTATTAGTAGATTGTAGTATCTCCAAGCAATCAGTCTTTAAATGGTATGTCAATGTTGTTAATATAAAAACAATTTGTGAATTTGTAATATTGTTTACTGCTTCTGTCAATCTTTTTTTGAACTCATTTGAGAAAAACATATCATTTTCAAGAGTGGATATATGATATAAACTGTCTTTTAAAGTTATCAATATTGCTGAAATTAATTTTTCCTCTTGCCTTAAATATATAGAAGCATCCAAAATAGAAATCATTAGATATCTATGTTTTAATATTGATTTTTCTACAAACATTTTTTTCAATATATCTTGAATTCTTTTCTCAATTACAAGAGGATTAAAATAACAAAACTGTACCAAAAGATCATAGCTGGTACTACTCATATTTTTCCTCATTAAAATATCATCAACTATATTTTGACAATAATCAAATAATGTTACATCATGTACTTTATTATCAAAATCAAATCTTATGTCATCTGCACATTTTAAAAGAACACTCAATATTTTTCTTCTATACATTCCAGAACATTCTACTAATTCTCTTAATATTATATCTAACACAATAGTGTTTGATCTAAAAGTACTTATAGCAACACGAAACAGAAAAATAAATGTTTTTAAATTACTGTCAAAATCTTTTATTTTTGCATTTTCTGTCAGAATAGACAATAAATTGTTAAAATGTGTTATATCCTCATTTCTTAGTAATTCTGTACTTTGAATATGTTTTCTTCCAAATATTAATTGTTGAATGCATTTATGTGCTATTGAACCTAGTCTATTAGTATTATCATTACAATTAAGGTCAATTATAACACATAAAGGATATAAAATATCATGTATAAATATGGTTTTTAAATTATCTTTTGCAACAAAAGCAGACTTGTAAATTTGTATTATATTTTCTATAACAGTAATTACAGTGTTATATGCTACCAATATTAATTCATCACTTTTATTAATTAATGAAACTTTTATTCCTTCCTTTGATGACTCTTTAATGCTAAAGGCATGTTTAAAAATTTTATTTGTACATTCTAATAAAGATTTTGTGAGAAGTCCTAAATCTTCGGGCTTATTTATAAAATATTGTTGAATCCTATTATTGGAAGTTAATAAACTACAGCATTCAAACACATCCTGATGTATATGCTTTACATTTTGTTGAAATGTTTCAATTAATATTTTTATCAGTATTTTTATTATACTATTCTTAATATTTAAATACTGTATTTTCAAGCAATTTTTTAACGAATTCCAAACATTTGGATCCATAGAATGCACACTACAAAGCCATTGTAGAATAAGGTCATCTTTATGTATTATTGGTACATTAATGGCACAAAATGCATTTTCTGCTAATTTTAAACGTTTAGATAAAGGTTCTTCGTTTGTATTTAGGTGCTTTAATAATTCTGTTAAATACAAATATACATCTATATTACTAAACATGTAAAAGGTTATAATTTTACTCACGTGTTAACCTACCTACTGACAAAGACATTTCAAATATGTATACTTTATTTATCAATGTGTTTAATTTTTAACATATTTTTCAATACCTTTTTTTTGAAACGAATTATTTCAATAAATTATTTATGCAATTAAAATATTACATATCACAAATATGTATGCTATTAGACATTACATATATGTATACATTAGAGATGTGACTACCGATCACCGATAAATTATCGATATGTATCGATATATATGTTTTTTTGTTATGGCTTATTACAAATAACATATCTATAAATTTCTGGTATATAATAGGTTCAGATAAAAATAAATATATTTTAAATAATTATATACTAATCAATACGTTGCAATCTGTCTCGATCGTTTGTATTCGGTATATCGATAGTTACGCCTTTAATATACTTATAGTATACTAGTATACATATAAAATGATTTAACATTTTAATTGTTAATTTAGAACAAAAATAAGAAATGTTTAACTAGTATTCATAATAAAAATATATTTAATAATTTTTGAAAATTGTAATATTGAATGTTAATAAAATTTTTAATTTAAAAAAAAAAGATTAAATATTACCAAATCAAAAACGTGGAAATATTAGTAAAATATATTTATAAAAAATAATATTTTATTTA